ACAATGAGTAGAGGGGGAAGAATTAGTGATATTTTTAAAATTATAAGTGCAAAAAAGGGTGATATGGTTTAGTTCTGTGACTCCACCCAAATCTCATCTCAAAAGGTAGGAGTGGTGGGAGGTTATTGGATCATGGGGGTGGTTTCTCTCATGCTGTTGTCATGATAGTGAGTTCTCATGACTGATGTTTACAAGTGTTTGGCAGTTCCCTCTTTACTGTCTCTCTCTCTCTCTTTCCTGCTGCCTTGCAGAGGAAGTGCTTGCTTCTCCCTCACTATCCACCATTGTATTAGTCCTTTCTGACACTGCTATAAATACCTGAGATTGGTAATTTATAAAAGAAAGAAGTTTGTTTAATTGACTCACAGTTCTGCACAGCTGGGGAAGCTTCAGGAAACACAATCATGGTGGAAGGGGAAGCTAACATGTACTTCTTCACATGGTGGCAGGAGAGAGAAATGGAAGCAGGAGAAATGGTAGATGCTTATAAAACCATCAGAGCTTGTGAATCTCACTCTCTATCATATGAACAGCATGGGGGCAACTGGGTACACGATTCAATTACCTCCCACTGAATCACCCCCCACAACACATGGGGATTATGGGAACTACAATTCAAGATAAGATTTGGGTGAAGACACAGCCAAACTGTATTAACCATGATTGTAAATTTCCTGATGCCTCCCAAGCTATACAGAACAGTGAGTCAATTAAACATCTTTTCTTCATAAATTATTCAGTCTCAGGTAGTTCTTTATAGCAGTGTAAAAATGGACTAATACAGAAGATTGGTACTGGAAGTGGAGCACTGCTATATAGATACCTGAAAATGTTGAAGCAAGTGTGGAATTGGGTAACAGGCAGAGATCAGAATAGTTTGGAAGGCTCAGAAGAAGACATAATGATATGGGAAAGTTTGGAACTTCCTAGAGAATTGTTGAATGGTTTTGACCAAAATGCTGATAGTGATATGGACAATGAAGTCCACTTTGTGGTGGTCTTAGATGGAGATGAAGAACTTATTCGGAACTGGAACAAAGGTCACTCTTGCTATGCTTTAGCGAAGAGACTAAAGCATTTTACCCGTCCTAGAGATCTGTGAAACTTTAAACTTGAGAGAGATGATTTAGGGTATCTGGCAGAAGAAACTTCTAAGCAGCAAAGCCTTCAAGATGTCATATGGCTTTTTCTGAAAGCAAGTGGTCATATGTGTTCACAAAGAGATGATCTGAAATTGGAACATATGTTTAAAAGGGAAGCAGAGCATAAAAGTTTGGAAAATTTGCAGCTTGACCATGCAGTAGAAATGAAAACCCCATTTTCCAGGGAAAAATTCGAGCTGGCTGCAGAAATTTGCATAAGTAACAAGGAGCTGATTGTTAATAGCTGAGACAATTGGGAAAATGTCTCCAGGGCATTTCAGAGATCTTCAGGACAGCCCCTCCCATCACAGGCCTAGAGGCCTACAAGGGAAAAATGATTTCATGGGCTAGGCCAGGGTTTTACTGCTCTGTGCAGCCCCAAGACATGGTGCCCTGTGTCCCAGCCACTTCAGCTCGTGGCTAAAAGGGGCCAAGGTACAGTTTGGGCCACTGCTTCAGAGGGTGCAAGCTCCAAGCCCTGGCAGCTTTTATACTGTCTTGGACCCGCAAGTATGCAGAAGCCGAGAGTTAAGGTTTAGAAACCTAGGTCTAGATTTCAGAGGATATATGGAAATGACTGGCTGTCCAGACAGAAGTCTGCTGCAGGGGCAGAGCCCTCATGGAAAACCTCTACTAGAAGAGCAGTGCAAAAGGGAAATGTAGGGTTGGAGACCCCACAGAGTCCCCTCTGGGGCACTACCTAGTGAAGCTGCGAGAAGAGGGCCACTGTCTTCCAGACCCCAAAATGGTAGATCCACCAACAGCTTGCACTCTACCTGGAAAAGCTACAGGCACTCAACTCCAGCCCATGAAAGCACCCTCAGGGGCTGTACCCTGCAGAGCCACAGGGGCAGAGTGGCCCAAAGCCCTAGGAGTGTCCCTCTTGCATCAGTGTGCACTGGATGTAAGACATGGAGTCAAAGGAAATTATGTTGGAAGGTTAATATTTAATGACTGTCCAGTCAGGTTTCAGACGTGCATGGGCCTGTGGCTCCTTTGTTTTGGCCAATTTCTCCCATGTGGAATAGGAACATTTACCCAATGCCTGTACCCCAATTGTATCTTGGAAGTAATTAACTTGTTTTTGATTTTACAGGCTTGTAGGTGGAAGGGACTTGCCTTATCTCAGATCAGACTTTGGACTTGGACTTTTGAGTTAATGCTGGAATGAGTTAAGACTTTGGGGGACTGTTGGGAAGGCATGATTGGAATAGCACATGCAAATTCCCTGAGACAAAAAGGAGTACTGCTCACTGGAAGATCTAAGATGAGGCCAGTATGACTGGGAGGGGCATGGTGAGACTGAGGAGGCAGGTGGGTCTAGCCTAGGCAGATTTTTGTATACCACATTAAATATTTTATGCTTTATCCTAAGTGTCATCAAAAGCCATTTAAATATCTTAAGGGGGTGGGATAGAGGAAGGTAGTAGACATGAACAAGGCTGTATTTGGAAAAGATCACTCTGACTGCACTGTAGAGCAGGGGTCCCCAACTCCTGGGCCACAGACTGGTACAGGTCCATGACCTGTTAGGAACCAGACCACACAGCAGAAGGTGAGCAGCAGGCAAGTGAGCATTACCACCTGAGCTCCACCTCCTATCAGATCAGTAGTGGCATTGGATTCTTATAGGAGCACGAACCCTATTGTGAACTGTGCAAGTGTGTGATCTAGGTTGCATGCTCCATCTAATGCCTGCTGATCTGAGATGAAACAGTTTCATCTTGAAACCATCCCTTCCCTGGTCTGTGGAAAAACTGTCTTCCATGAAACCAGTCCCTGGTGCCAAAAAGGTTGGGGGTCACTGCTGTAAATAACAGATTGGAGTTGGGTCTAAGTGACTACAAGAAGATATTTGAAGTTTTAAATTAATTTCCAACTGACAGAACTTTATGCATTCCTGCCTCCTCCTACTTTCCCATTAGGTAGATTATACTGAAAAAATAAATCAGTCAAATGAATGAAAGAAGATTTTAGATGAATGATTGTTTGATTTTGTAAAATGGTTCACTTCTTTATTTCTTTTCCAAAAAAATTTTTTTGCCCTCTGATCACAGTGTGCAATTCGGGCTCACCAACTTGCTCTTTAAAAAATTCAGGAAAATGAAGCAATAGAATCTCTAAACAATCTACAAAGGTGGGAAAGGATGGCACCCTGACAATTGTCAATTCATACCTCTTAATTTCATCTCTTGAGGTCTTGAAATTGCCTTTGAAAAAATTGTAACTGAGAAAGTTATAACTGAAAGAGACCTGATCTAACCATCCCCCATCTTGCCTTTGTAAATCAAAGAATGTGACCAAGGCAAGTCTCAATTATTTTAGGAGGTTTATTTGCCAAAGTAAAGGATGTATGCCAGGGAGGCAGGTATATGCTTTTCTCCAAAGATGATTTTGAGGGTTTCAGTATTTAAAGGGGAAAGGGTGGATATTGGGGGATGAGAAATTTTTTTTTTTTTTTGAGACGGAGTTTCGCTCTTGTTACCCAGGCTGGAGTGCAATGGCGCAATCTCGGCTCACCGCAACCTCTGCCTCCTGGTATCAGGCAATTCTTCTGCCTCAGCCTCCCAAGTAGCTGGGATTACAGGCACGCGCCACCATGCCCAGCTAAGTTTTTGTATTTTTAGTAGAGACGGGGTTTCACCATGTTGACCAGGATGGTCTCAATCTCTTCACCTCGTGATCCACCCACCTCGGCCTCCCAAAGTGCTGGGATTACAGGCGTGAGCCACCGCGCCCGGCTGAGAAATATTTTTAAAATGTGTCAGTAGATAAAGAGAGAAAACAGTTGCATCCTTCTCAATATACAATTTTCACATGAGGGAGGAGTGGAGGAAATAGGGTAACTTGAATCTATGCTTCCAGGTGGCCATCTTCAACCTTTATGCTTGAATAAACTTCCTTTAAACTAGAGTCTTATCCTTTTTATTATTTTAGGTTGACAACTGTCAAATTTATATCTCTGGCCCATTGGACTTCTTCCTTGAACCTCAGTGTCTAAATCTAACTGTCTACCCAGCCACTCCACTTGGATGTTTAATAAGGATTTCAAATTCACATACAAAAAACAAAATTCCTGACTTCCGCCTTAAAAATGGTTTCTTAAACAACTCAGTTCTTACAAGTTGCTCATATTGCCTTTTACCTCATACTCCAAAACTAATATATCCACAAATCTTACGATTCTCATTCTAAAATTTACCCAGAATTCACTGTTGTTTTCACCACCTCGATCACCACCACTCTGGCCCACACCACTATCACCATGGCTGGATTATTGTAATAACTTTCTGATATCACTTTTCACCAACAAATACAAGCATTTTCATCTGGTTCCCTCAGGGATCCTTAACCCCCAGGCTGCAGATAGTAGCAGTCCATGGCCTGTTAGGAACCAGGAGGCACAGTAGGAGGTGAGCAGTAAGCAAGGGGGCATTACCTCCTGAGCTCCCCCTCCCTCAGATTAGCCCTGGCCTCGGATTCTCAGAGGATCAGGAACCCTATTGTGAACTGCACGTTGGAGGGATCTTCTAAATTGTGTGTTCCTTATGAGAATCTAATGATAAATGTAATGCCTTTGAATCACATCCTGAAACCATCATCCACCTCCCAGCAGGAAACCGGTCCCTGGTGTCCAAAAGGTTGGGCGGCCGCTGCTCTATATAATCCCTGGGAGACTGATGACTTGTCTCTTTCACTTAGTGCCATGAACTCCAGTGCAACTTTGTGGGTGCTCCATAAATACTTGGCTGGAATGAACCCATAAATATTTAATACTACTGCATATACAGCAATACTTTTGAGGAGCTCCTTGGGTATGTAAAAATTGCAGGGGACATTTATAAATAAAGAACCTACCGAATCAAAGCAATGAGTGGAACATAGGGTCAGCTGGTTGAAGCAGTGCTCACGAGCTGCTCCAGCTTCTCAAAGTAGGCAGGTTTTCCACCTAAGCCAGCATTCTTCTATTTTTGGTCACCGTAGCTATAAACCTGCTCCCTTACCCGGAACCTCACCCTCAGCCGAGAGCCCAATGGGCTTTTCCTCCTCTCGCCCTCACGATGAGCGAGCCCACAAGGTCTGAGGTGGAAGATACACTTGAACACCTGACAAGCCTTCAGGGACGACACTGGATTCTAGGCCACCTGGGCTTCTCCACTGTATTAGTTATGAAAAAACAAAAGTCAGAAAGAAGCCTTCGGAGGTGGAATCTCCAACCCGACTACAGGTTAGGAAGCAAAGCGCACCTAGCAAAGGGCTGGTCCCTGCAGCCTCAAGGGTTGATGGGAAGTGAATCCACCGTCAACCGCCCGTATCCAAAATGGCAGGATACAGGAGCGAGTGTATTTAGGTGTGAAGGTAGGGCCACTGAAGAAGGGAGAACGACAGCATAATTGTTTTGATTCAACACGGAGGCGGCGATTATAGGAGGGCGAATGGCGAAGGACAACGCAACATCCAGCTGGCAGAAGCAGCGGGCCTGACGGGGCTGGCCACATTGACCCAATCCAAGATGGTGCCGAGGTTGTAACCGGAAGCGCGCAAAAGGCGGGACTTACCCTGATCCAAGATGGCAGTGGCAATTGAGGCAAGCCGAGGGATGCGAGCGCCAGGAGCATCTTTGCCCTCAGCCAAGATGGCGGCAGCCGTGGGCGCTGTCCCCGGCTCCGCCCTGCGGCCTCAGCCCCGCCTCCCTCTCGTCCTCCCTCCGCCCCCTTGCCTTGCCGAGTCCGGCCCGAGGCGCTCGCGCTGGGAGAGCGGGCTCCGGGCATTTGACATGGCGGCAGCGGCAGCTACTGCAGCGGCGAAGGGGAATGGGGGCGGCGGTGGCCGGGCCGGGACTGGGGACGCCAGCGGCACGCGGAAGAAGAAGGGCCCGGGGCCTCTGGCCACGGCGTACCTGGTCATCTACAATGTGGTGATGACAGCGGGGTGAGGCTGGGGCTGGGCTCGGGGAGGCGGGGAGCCAAGCGCGACTGGGGAGGGAGCTCTGCGGCCCGCGAAGCGGAGCAGATTGGCGCGGAGTAGATCCGCGCGGCCCACGGCACGCAGTGCAGCCCCGGTGGGCGGTTTCTGGGACCCAGTACCTGGGCGCTGAGGGCGGCCGAGCGCTGAATCGACCCCTGTGGCTGCCGGCGAGTTCCCGCCTGCACTGGGGGTCGAGCCAAGTTCCCAGGCACGGGGGCGCAGGGATTGCTGCCGGGCACTGTCACTCGAGGGCCAAGGGAGGGAGGGTGGACTGGCCACAGGTGCGGGGCCGGGGGTGGCGGCCGGAAGACCTGGCGGTGCGGGCGGAGCCTAGCCCCGGCGGCCAGGCTCAGATGGTGAACGGCGCCCGGCTGGGGAGTGGAGGAGCTGTGGCTGCAGAGTGACCATTCATTTGGGCGGCTGTTTTCAAAATCCTGGCTGCGCTTTAATCCGAAAGGTATTGGGAAAGCGTTCAAAGTTTTTGGCCAGCGACTTGAGCAGAGCTGGGCTTTAGATGAGTTTAGACTTTTAGGATGGGTTGGGGTGGGGAAGAAACAGCGGGGTAGAAGGCAGATTTACTGGGGACGGGGAGAATAGACCCTCTAAATCTCGAAACGGTTTTACCCATACCTGTCTCCCTTATTTCAGTCTATCCCTTATCCCGGCGGGTTTTTAGTTAAAGCTCTGCCACTAACTAGCTATGTACTTTAGATAAATCACCTTATTTCTCTAGCCTCCGTTTTTTCATCTGTAAACTAAAGAGTTGGGCTGGATGATGAAGGTTCCTTCAGCTCTGCAATTCTTTATCTCATCATTTTGGTGAGGAGGATCACAGGATCAATTTGTTATATATTTATATATATATATATATAATATATAATATATATAGTATATATTATACATTTTTCTACAGTCTTCATTTGTAATTTTTATAAAGTCCTAACATTTATTATGAAAAATTTCGAACATGCAGAAGAGTTGAAAGAATTGTATAGTGACCATCCATTTTTATTTAGTTTTAAAGTAGGTAATACATTGGCAGGATTCAGAACTCAAAATATAAGCCAGAGCATACAGTGAAAATCTTTCCTCCCTCCCACCTTTCCCTTCTCCCCAGATTCCCCTCTCTCGGGGCAGTTAATTTTATGTGTCCTTAATATACCGATGCAAGCAAATATGTTTATACATCCTCTACCCCTTTTTTAGATAAGACAAATGGCGATATTTTTAATATTGTTACAATTCAGCACCTTGCTTTTTCACGAAAAAGAAAGTAATATGGGAGGATCATAGAGTTATTGCTAGTATTAGAAGTGGTAGGTGTGGAAACAGGCTCAGAGAAGTTGTGACTTGCATGAGATCGTAGAACTTGTTAATAGAAGTTCCAGATCTAGAAATCATTTCTCTTGACTCACAGGTCTATGAAGAACTAGTACAGATTCAGGCTTTTATCACATCAGTGGTCACATAGATTGATTTTTTAAAAAATCCTGGATTCTCTCTGTGTGTATTAATATTTATATATAAAATTCTTGTGTCTTAGCAAGGGCTGGTGAGGGCATTGGACTGGAGAGGGATTTTTAAGGTACATTGGTAAGAAGAAAGAAGTCTATTCCTGAGCAATGAACAAAGAGAATGCGGTGGAGGGTAAGGAGTGGTGTCTTAAACCAGGAAGAGAAATTGGGATTGTGAGAGCAAAGTAAGCTTTTTTTTAAGGCTGTTAATAGTTGTACCAGTTACACCATTAAATAATTTCTTCTTTTACAAACCCTTTATTTTATGTCCTTGTACGATAGTTTTTGGAAATAGCAGAGACCACACACCCCATTGCCTAGTTGATTTTGTACATTTACCTAAATCCTTCCAGGAGACATACCTTAATAAAAAGGTCCATTTGTTTTATTATGGAACTTGACAAAAAATTATGTTCATTTTTGAGGACAGTGGACAAAAATATAACATTCACAGCTGTATGCTTATGTGCTTCTTGTTTTGTGGTTTGTATTGATCCGGCTTTCATTTCTGAGTTGATTTTGGAAAATTGAGCTAAAAACTTTTTTTTAACAAAAGCCTATAATTCTTAATTTTAAAAGGATAGATTTTAAGGTATGGGTAATTGTTCTAGTGAGACAATATAAAAATAGTTTAAAGCATCTTCTTTCTACCCTGCAATTATTAAAAACCCTTTAACTGCACAGACCATTTAAAATTTTCCTTTAACTTTTTTTTCTCATCTTAGATTTTCTTGGCACCTAATTTAGTGGTACAAGGACCATTTTAGCTTATTCCTTTCCTTTTGGCTTTGTTCCCAACAGCAAAGTTGCCAAAAAAATGAGCTCCAGATGGGTGAGGTGCCACTGTACTTTCACTGAGCCCTCTTGATAAGGTGCTATTGGTGGTGTAACATTTCAGTGCATTACAGCTTGGCATTTGAGAGCTACCATTCATAAATCCAGGTACTGATGCTTCAGGTCATCTTTTACAATATCTTTTATTGCCACAGCTGCCTATTAACCTAAATCTTACTTCTTAAATTTTTATTTTTTTCCTGATTGTTCTTTTCTCTTTTACTAGGTGGCTGGTTATAGCAGTTGGTCTGGTCCGAGCATACCTGGCTAAGGGTAGCTACCATAGCCTTTATTATTCAATTGAAAAGCCTTTGAAATTCTTTCAAACTGGAGCCTTATTGGAGGTAGGTCCTGAGATTTATTATTGTTATTGATTTCCATTGGTATAAAGAAAAAGATGCAACTAAATTATATTGAAGTAGCAGACCTCCGTTGGATTCAAGTTAAATTTTGAAATTTTGCCTCCTCACGTACTAAAGTGTTGATACCTAGGCTTTTTGAAGTTCTAGATAGGGTAAAATCTCATTTAACTTGTGTTACCTTGAATGTATATTATGTTCAACTTTTTTTGGAAATCAACTGAAACAAGCTTATATTAGGATTTTTTTAAATTCCAGGGACATGTTGGGGAAGCATTGGCAAAATCAGATGGTTTCAGGGTTTATGTTATAAAAATAGTGAAGTTGGTGGGTGTAGGATATTGGGAGTGATAGATGTAAGACATAATAGCCTGTGACTAAAGTCGTCCAAATTGATTTCCTTGAATTAAGGGCAATGTATATTCAGTCCTCTCTCTTGAGGTAAGTATAGATTCAGATTTTGGATAACCCAATTCAAACTACTTTAACCAAAAAAGGAATTTTCTGGCCTCTGTAATTGATACAGATACAAGATTAGTTTACAAAGAGACCAGCTCGGGAATGAGAACCAAGGATTTGACATTGCCAGATTCTCTTGCCATCTCCCATCTCTGCTTGTCTATTTCTCTTTGAATGTTGGTCTTGGGCTCGCCACATGGTAGGAAACGGGGAGGGTGTTTATTTTTCTCAGCATCTGTGTCACACGTTCCCAGGGAGGATTCTGGTTGGCCCTACTTAAACTCCTGCCAGTGATATGAGGTGCTTGATTAGCCAGTCTTAGGACACATGCCCATTCTTCTTTCCAAGGGACTACAGACTTTGCTCATGGAAAAGAGGGAATAATGGTGATAGCTTTGGACACACAAAATCAATAGTGCCATAGTTCAATACGGTGAAAAACCTTCAGATTGCAGGGATAATCTAGTTCATTTTGCTTAGCCTCCAGGCAAGACCATCATAACATTTACGCTTTACTGGCAATTTTAAAACCTGAACTGTGGAATGATACTTAACAAATAATCGTTTATTTCATGAAATGAAATCTGATATACCTCTACCTTTCATTCTCACTTTTTTTTTTTGAGACAGGGTCTTGCTCTGTTACCCAGGCTGGAATGCAGTGGTGCAATCATGGTTATAGCACACTGCAGCCTTGAGCTCCTAGGCTCAAGCAGTCCTCCCACCTCAGCTTCCGGAGTAGCTGGGCCCATAGTTGCACACCACCATACATGGCTAACTTTTAAAACTTTGTAGAGACAGGGTCTCCCTGTATTGCCTAGGCTGGTTTCAAACTCCTTGGCTCAAGAGATCTTCCCATCT